CCCTCTGCAACGTAGCTTTGGACATCCTCACGCAGTTTATCGAGCTCCGCCTTGAACTGATCAATCATCTCGCCATCTTGAGTGATCTCTCTCGGCTGGTTTGATGAGCCCTGGATTTCTGTACGAAGACTATCGAGTCCTTCCCGAAGCGCTGTCAGAACTTGCTCTGTGTCCTTGCCACTGGTGGAAGAGTATCCTTCGAACTCAGTATGCATCTCTTCTACCATTGACTTTAGATGCTGCATGACAGACTCGTTATGAGCTTCCGTTGCTGCCTTGACCGCATCCGTGATGCTCTCCGGGGGGATTTCAATTTCTAGGCCGGCAGAGTTGTGTTCGGTAAGAGCTTGGCGGATAACCTCTTCAAGCATCTCTCGCGAGATACTCTCGGTTGGTTTTGGCTGCTGGGCAGTAAGAGCTGGCTTCAACTCCTCTAGGGATTCTCGCACGGCCATGAGGACTTCCTCGCGGATTTCATGGACTTCATTGATTGGAGGTGGGAGTTGAATCTGCTGGAGGGAGTCGTGCAGCAACTTCTCAATCTCCTCCTTGGTAACCGCGCCGGAGCCGTTGAAATCTTGCAGTCCTTCGCGTAGACACTGCAGGACCTCGTCTCTGCCCAAGCCGACTTGTTGGATTTCACGATTGGCATTCATCTCGACGCCGTCGAAGGCCTCTCGCACGGCACTGATGAGAGCTTCCTTGTCGAGGGCAGCTGAGTGGGCGGATGGCTGATCCAGGCCTCGCTCCGCGAGTGCTTGCTTGACGACATCGTACACCTCGTTGTTGTCGACAGTGTTGCGTGTCACGACTGACGACATAGATTGTCGCCTTCGCTCACGCATGACCTTGTCCATGTGCTCCTTGAGGTTCGCGAGACCCTCTTGGACGATGGTGTTGATCTGCTCGTTCGGCTGACTTGACTCTGGATCTGATTCCACAGCTCTAGCCTGCTCCGCCTCTTCCAGCTTACGTGCAAGCTCGCGACCCATGCCTAGCACTTCACCGCGAAGATCTTGAATCATTGATTTGGTCGCCATGGTGACACAGCCAGACTCTGCAACGCTGTCTTTGATCTTACGCAGGAACTTGAGCATTTCCTCGCTTACAAAGTCAGCAGCCTTGGGGCTAGAGTAGACCTTGCTATCAGCCGAGATTGTGCGAGTGAGCGCACCAGATCCTGGCGAAGGTTGGAAACTTGCAGATCCAGGAGCAGCATGTACAGCTCCGCCCATTGAACCTTGCTTGACGAACTCCACCAGCTCAGCGACCTTCTGGGCAGTCTCTCCAGTGGCCTTGTCAACCAGCTTCTGAAGATTTGTTACAAGCCGTTCCTGACCATCTTTGGTGACCATCTCGCGAATGATCTTTTCCAGCATGGCGACACTAGCGGCACCCTCGACAGAGTATGGGTTGGGGCTTCCGATGCGCTCGTCGGCCCAGGGGCTACTTGATGTCATCCTCGGAAAGGTGAACTGCTTCGTGGGTGTCATGTGGGGATCCTGAAGGTTGAGGCTGCTAGACCGAGAGGTATCTCCATTCATAGCGGCAGTGGCAGCTTCTTGCTGCTTTTGCGACATGGTTGCCAGAAGGTCCTTGAGCGACTTTCGAATATCCTCATCCCGGAGGTTTGTCGCCTCCTTCAAGCTGATGAGGTCAGTCGCGTTGTCTTTGCTCCTTCGACTGAGTTGTGACATGTCTTTCTGGAGACTGGAAACGATGTTGTTGATGCTGACAAGCTGACTGGCGATGTTGTCGAATGAGTGAGGTGGAAGCGATCCCTGGGCGGGCGCTGGCGCTGGTGCTGGCGCTGACACTGGTGTAGATACCGGGGTAGTTGCCGCAGCTGGTGGTGGAGAGCGTGGAGAGCGTGGCGAGCTGTTAAAGTTGGCCGATGGTGGCGGGTCCAGCATATGTTGGGGGATAGACATTGTCTGAAGGGCCATCATCGTAGCAGAAGGAGGCGTGTTCTCGCCTAGGAACGGCCGGTGAGTGGGCCTCAGAGCTGGTGTGTCCTTGATCTCGAACCGTGGCGCTGGCGACGGTGTGACATGTCTGGTAGGACTGGGATCGGCATCTTTGCCAAAGTAGTCCTTGTCCCAGTCGCGCGAGATTGGCCTGCCTCCTCTACTTGACGGCCGGTCGCGTTCTGGTGACCGCTCTGGTGACCGGTTGTCTAAGTAGCTGCGCAGGTCACGAACACTACCTGGCTGGAGCGATTGCATACGCTTGTGCTGATTACCTTTGATTAGAGCACGCTCTGGAGAGAGCGATTTGAGTGGCATAGGGTTAGTAGTATATGAGCTTGCGGGCAAGCTCTCTCGCGCCTTCTCTTCTAGCGCTTTAGCCGCTTGCATGATGGCGGCTGATGTGTTAGGGCGGGTGGTGAGATTTGGTGAACCTGGGTTCAATGGCAATGGCGGAGGTGCCCGTTCAGGGTCAGCACTGTCCCACCTAGAGCGCAGTGTTAGCAGTGAAATGTAGCGGTGTGCATTGGCATGGAGGAAAATGAGGAGACGAACATGGGAATCATTCTGTCGGATGAGAAAGAATGTGAGTGCCGGACGAGCTCCCTGTCGCGGGAAAGTTCTCTGTCGGAGGAAGGCATTGTGGTATCTGGTGTCGTGGATATTTAAGTCCCGGAGGTGGTATGGGAGTGCACAGCGGGTACAAGGCGGGCTGAGCGCAGAAGTTTGTTTTTGGAGAAAACAGATCAGGGTATCAATCGCGAATGGCTTCAGCGATCCAGCGCAGGGTAGAATATGCAACGCAATGGTTCGTGAGATGTGGAGGGCGGATGGTGGGAGACTGGAGTGCAGGTTCAGAGCGAGAACAGTGTTGATCTAGGTTGGGGTTTGTTTACGTGCACTGGCCAATAGGCGATGACGATGGCGGCGCGACCTGCCAGCTCAGCCGTCGCTGGGGCAGCACTGGCGCGAACAAGACGGCTGGAATGGATATGGTACGCCCATTGGATGCACACCGCCGTTGCGAGTCGGCGGTGGATTGCAGCTCAACAGGCGACATGCATGTCATGTGCAGTGAGTGCATTGCGAATAATCGTGCACAACCAGGTCGCCTGTTACCTGGGGGAGGGCCTTGCACGCCGTTGTCGATAAGGCTCGTTGCTATGCGCTTTGTGGCGCAGGTGGCTCCTCCATGCCGCTCCCGCCCCGTCACTTGTCGGCGTTATGTATCGCCGATCCAGCACCCGCCGCCGCATCTCCAGCTAAGCTACCAGCAGTTGATCATCACCGACGGCCAGCTCCATCTCCGCCACACAATTCCCCGTCCCTTCCCGGCGAACTGCTTGCACGGACTGCCCAACCGCCTTTCACACACACTCTCCCATCGATCGTCTAGCCATGGCTGTCCCCGAAACCACATCGCGGGTGGCAGAGGCGCAGAAGCTGGCCAAGTCGGATCCCTCCAAGGCCGAACAGATATACAAGGACGTCCTCTCACAAAACCCCGGTTCCAATGAGGCAGCCATCAAGAACTACGAGACCGCTCTAGTTGGTCTCGGCGAGCTTTACCGCGACCAGAAGAAGGTGGATGCTCTGGCGGAACTGGTAAAGCAGGCGCGATCGGTAATGTCGTCGTTTGCGAAAGCAAAGACATCCAAACTGGGTATGCATTCCATCTCCATACGCTGGCCCGGCGGCCAATGATTGACACAGCACAGTCCGACAGCTGCTCGATCTCTTCACCACCATACCAAACACGACCGACATCCAGATCGCCGTCACCAAGTCATGCATAGAGTGGGCCGTCTCAGAGCGGAGAGGCTTCCTACGGCAAAACCTCGAGACCCGACTTGTCGCGCTGTACATGCAGAAGCAGTCCTACTACGATGCCCTGACGCTCATCAACAGTCTGCTCAAGGAGCTGAAGCGCCTAGACGACAAGCTGGTCTTGGTCGAGGTGCAGCTGTTAGAATCGCGTGTCTATCATGCATTGGGTAACATACCCAAGGGCCGTGCTGCTCTCACATCCGCCCGAACATCGGCTGCCTCAGTCTACACCCCACCTCTGCTACAGGCCGGACTGGACATGCAGAGTGGCATGCTACATGCCGAGGATGGTGACTTCAACACAGCCTTCTCCTACTTCATCGAAGCAATGGAGGGATACCACTCACAGGATGAGGACCAAAAGGCAACATCAGCACTACAGTATATGCTGCTCTGCAAGATCATGCTCAACCTTGGAGATGACGTGACATCGCTCATGACCTCGAAGCACGCCGTCAAGTATGCCGGCAAGCGATTAGAGGCCATGAAGGCCGTAGCCCGAGCACATACGAACCGCAGTCTAGAGGAGTACGAAACCGCCTTGACCGACTACCGCCAACAGCTTGGCAGCGACCGATTCATCACCTCCCATCTTCGCCGCTTGTATGACAACATGCTGGAGCAGAACCTCATCAAGGTCATCGAGCCCTTTAGCCGGGTCGAAATCGACCATGTCGCCAAGATGGTCGGGCTAGACACGATACAGGTTGAGCGAAAGCTCTCCCAAATGATTCTTGACAAAGTCATTATTGGAGTGCTGGACCAGGGCGCCGGATGTCTTATCGTCTATGACGAGTCTGAACGCGATCAGGGATATGATGCTGCCCTCGCCACTCTTGAGAAGCTGAGCAACGTTGTTGACGTGCTGTACACCAACCAGGCCTCTCTATTGGAGTAGAATGTCAGCTGCGAGAGGCAGAAGCGTCAGATGCACTCAAGCTATGTAAAATAGAAGCATAGAAGCTCAAGCATGCTCAGCATTCCATGTGGCTAACTATTAATGACAAAACATGATTTGAACAATACCACAATGTGTGCAAAACTTACACCGGTGGATGTTCGTGATGTAGACTCACAAGCACCCATTTCCACGTCCATCATACCGCTCCTTTACGCCCCCCCTTGTCAAACTCCAACACCAACTAACCGTATCGCAAACCCAATTTATCTATCCCACAAAAACAAGAAGAAAGAAAGAAAGAAAGATTAGATCCCGCCATGTGACTCCTTATGCCCCCTCGCGTTCGCATTCACAATCACAACTCCAAGCACCATCCCGCACATGAACAGCGTAATAAACGTCACAGCAACCATGGTGCAGCAGTACCTCTCACTCTCCCTCTTCTGCCTCGCAGCCGTTTGAACCTGCTCATCGCACGCAGTGCAGTGCTTGTGCTGCGAGTCTGACTGGGGGAGAAGCAGTTTGGTTATTGTTTGGGCAAAAGTTTCCGGCTGTCGTTGTTGTTGTTGTTGCTGCTGCTGCTGCGAAGGAGGCAGGGATGAGTGGGTGTGGGTATAGGCGTTGCGTTCTAGGTCCGAGGTTTCCCTGGTGAGGGGGGGTTGGTCGGCATCGTCGCATTGGGGGATAGTGGTGTACTGGGATTATTGTGTTAGTTGGAGTTTTTTAAACTGTATTTTTTTTCGCTATGATTGATACAGATGGGTAGGTGGGGCTGGGGGGGATAGATAGAACGTACGCCGGATAGTGAGCCCGATGGCGTGTAGCGATTTACGGGGTGGTTGTTGATTACATCGTCGTATGATGGTACGGCTTCGGTGGGTGTAGTTGGGACACCCATTATTCAGTTTCTTGTGTGTAAGTCGCGATATAGGATGGCGTTTAGAATTTATAGTGGAAGTGTTCTAGTTGCTTAAAAGTATACTGTTCTTATCGAAATACATGGTGCCGCAGCCATAAACTTTATAGGTGCCTGCACTCCCTGCCGTCCTTACCGGTCAACATCTCAGCAGGCTGATCATGGTGTTGGATGCCTGATGATAGCACAGCCTCTGCGCCTCAGCCCGCCTCGTCATGCTGTGCCGTGGGACCAACCAGCATCATGGGATAGTATACCCAGGGTCATGAAAGCCACAACTATGCGCTTGTTATACTGTTAGGATTTGCCACTTATGGACTTAGTGGGAGATACACATTAACGACGTACTGGATGGGCCGTGGTGCCAACCAATCGTGACGTTGGACGGCTGAATTGGTGGCGCATGCATGGTCTTGGCCAGCTATATAGCTCGATATGATTAAGAGGGGATTTGCCGTGGACCCGACTAACATTGTACATACAGCCTATGGAATAGGTTTCGTAGACTATGTAACAAGAGTTTATCACGTGACTTACGTAGATAGAGCAGAGAAGTGAAGAGTAACTACGCTAGTAGATAGGTACTCTCTACTATAAGGTATAGTAAAAGTATAATAGTAGTTATATCTTACAAGTGTTACAAGTAGCAAGAATGATTCTCTCATTGACAAGGGACGACGAGGTTGAAGACCAACCACGTCCTCAAATTGTACTTCCTTACTAGTATCTCTACTTAACAAGATTGTTACCTGTTAGTCTATAGCAATATAGACTAGTGTTATCAAACCTTTTGTTACCTTCTCATCAAGCATACCATTCCACTGTCTCGCCAGACAACCCTCACGGAACACTAGCGTAAAGCTCACCGGCCTTAGCGTGGGACCCGGCAAGAGAAGTATAGATCCAAACCCCGTGTAACATTATCCTCCACCATAACTATGCCTTACGAGAGCCTCGCACATATCTAGTAAGTACTCATCCTTATGATATTGCGGTCGGGGTGTCTTGAATATATCGTTTCTCTTCTCGCCTTTTTCCGACCATGCAAGCGATCTCTTTTCCACTTTGTGCTTTTCGAGGGCTTTCTGGCTGGTAAATGTACAACCGCGCATATAGGCAAAACTAGCTACTAAAGGCTCAGCCTGCGCTAATACAGGGTCCAATTTTAGAGATGCAAAGGAAGAGACTAAGGAGTCGTTTTGTTGTTGGTTTCGAGTAAGAGACTTATCAACTTGGCGCCTATAATATAAATAGTCGCGTTTGTGTACCTGAGAGACTTGTTTAGGCTTAAAAGCAGGACTGCAGGTACAGGAGTTGAGCAAAGTTTTCGAGAGCACTGAAGATGGGATAGTACTTGATACTGGCCATAAAGCTGGAGAAATCGTAGTCGAAGGTAAATGTGAAACCGTGGATGACACCGAGTCCGGTGTTGTGCTTTTGGAAGTTGATCTAGATCTCGATTTTTCTGCCTGATGAGTCTTCGGATACCGCAAATTATTTCATAGCTTCTTCTCGTTCTTGAAGCTCTGTCCACAAGGACACAGTATTTTCTAGGCTGTGGCTTCCGCAAGTGGAATAGAACGCTTTTTTGTCGCTAATGTTGGACCCGCACCCCAATCAAATCTTGAGTACCGAGTCAAATTCAATGTGTTCAAAAGTGCGTTCACCTTTTGTTCATGAACGGCACAGAGATATTCGGGACCATGAATTTTATTATGGTTTTTGAATCTGTTGCCGCACTGACAGGCTACAGAGGGCATAAGTCTCGGCGTCGAAGCTGGAATTGAAACTCTAGCCAGAACTATGGCGGCCCTTCAACTAGAGTTTGGGGTCACAGACATGACATGCTCCTCATTTTGATGGGTTCTGCAAAGTTTTTTGTGCCCTAAGTACGCCTCTGTATTCTCGAAACTTTTACCACAAGGGTAGCGAACCTGGACTGTGCTGATTCTTCCTGCCGCGTTGATCTCCGCGTATGAAAAGGCAATATCAACAAATATCAAATGGAATGCTAAAGGAGGTATCATAACTTTGGTACCAAACCAGCGTTAATTGCGATGATATAATTCCGTCCAGAGAAGTAAGATACATCGCTTGACTTTTTTCCCTGTTTGCTATATAGCGTATTAGATCAATTATCTTAGGAAAGAATAACAGGCCACACCCCAACCTGCCAGAATTGGGTATTAAAAAATTGACTTTACAGTCAAAGTACGTAATAAAAGG